TGCTTGTGTGCTGAGGGAACCCCATCTGTAGCTCGACTTGCTACACAGTAATATTAAAGTTTTTATTCATGTTACATTCAGTCATATTCACCAACTTCCTCCTTCAGTCTCTCACAGATCCCGTGTTCACAGCGCCTGAAATAAAATAAACTTTAGATTTTCTTCATGCCAGGATGTGACATTTGGTGTAGTTGTACATTTGTTGTCTGGGTGGAAACAGCACAGTGCCAGAAACAGGTTGTGATAATGAAAAGGAAAAAAAGGGAAAACTGTGACCCTGGGAAGAAACCGGCAGTGAGTGCAACATAAATTTACAGGTATTATGGGCATGACTGGCCAAAGCCAGTACAACAGGTTTGTAATAAGTAAACAAGCTACTTGAGGAACGATGTGACTTCTGTTGAGCATGGGTGTACCTACCACTGAGTTAATCAAGGTATGGACTTCAGTATTTTCTTGGAGGATACAATAAAAGTCCTGAAAATAACTGTTGATGCATGCCCTGAAGCCCCCCTAGAAAGTTCCGATTTTGGACTGCATACAGCAATACTGTAGAGGTCTGCGTAACTGCATCTCTGTGGGTTAGGGCTGTGCTGAATAAACCTTTTTTTTGGTCCAATTCAGGCACTGCGTGTTCGCTTGGTAACTTGAGGCAAGTAGGAAAACACACCATTGACCTGAATAAAATAAAAGGTTTCTCCGGGTTTCAACGTTGCTGGAAAGATTTGGGATGATGTAACTCAACAAAATACATATAAACATAGATCTGGAGTTTTATAACACTTTAATATATTTTAAAAAAATATTTCTTTTCCAACATATTTTACCAATCTGTTGTACAATTGCACTGAGTCTCCTCCTGATTATTCACAACAAGGCTTCAGGTCCTTCAACAGCCACAGGACCAAAGGTGAGTCCATTATTTAAGACAAAATCCATCACTAAAGGACACCAAAGCTGTTTTATTTTAAAGGCTATACCATGTGCAGCCAAAGAATTGTGGCCTTCTTCTTCTTAGCCAAAATGTAAACGTCCTCTGGTACTGCAGCCTTCCTCGGCATCGTCACATCAGCTTATATCGGCGTTCCCTGGAAGCTCAAAGCAATGTTCACCAGCTGAGCTCCCAGCTCCGCCTGCTGCCCTCCAGGGAGGAACTCTGCAGACAGCTCTCTGTAGGTGCTGCAAACCCTGCGCTCCTGAACATCCTCCCTACGGATGGCGTGCTTCCACCTGTGCCGCGCCTCGCCGTACAACACGACTAAAGACCTGCGAGGAAGACGCACAGCCACGTGGACATCCTCTGCCAGTCCCAGCTCTGGTAGGCCCTGCTCGAGGGACATGGTGAGCGTGGTGCTGGATAACATGTTGATGGTGACCAGGCGTTCCCCCCACAGCCAGGAGTCGTCTAGGTGCGGGTCGATGGCGGAGCCTCGCTGAGGGTGGTAGTCCAGGTTGCACTGCTCCACGGGCTGAAAGCCTGATAGACTCGGTTCTCGCTGCATTCGGAGCACCAGTTCTCGGCTCAAAGCGGGAAGTCCACTGAACCCGGCGACACGCACCTTCCTTTTCTTGAAGTTAACTTTTGGGCCAAAGTCCTGCAACAACACGAGAAAAGACTTTTGTTTATTTCATCAGAAATATAAGAAAGATAAAGTGCAGCAGTAGCATCAAACTACTCTAAATTATAAAGTAAAGATCCACTGATGTCGTTTTCTTCAGGGTCGATACAGATACCGATAATTAGTTTCTTTTAATCATCAGAGAAACTAAAAACAGATCCAATACATGGATTGCAGACAATCTTGCTCAACAAGTTGCACTGAAATCAGTGAGCACAGGTATTATGGGAGGTATTATGGGCACGACTGCCCAAAGCCAGTAGGACAGGTTGGTAATAAGTAATCTGCAAACATGATGTGACTTCTGTCCTCACGCCCTTGTTCTCATGTTCTCTTCTAAGTGGGAAGAGCAGTGTCAGCCTGGAATTTTAAATACAGAGTCAACGCCACGTGTTCCTCATAACCTGTTTCCTTCGACCAGACTGGGACTCGTTCCACACATCCTGGTCCATCGCACTTATCAGCATTTCCTCCTCCTCTTCTGATACGAAGTCGTCCCGCAGGAAGACACCAGGAAAGGGGAAGGAGGGGAAGGATGCAGCCGCCGCATCTTCGCAAACGGCGAGCCCCGTCTCAGGGTCGTAGAGGAAGCGATGCACAATCTGCGCGCACAGAAAGGACAATAATAATACGGGGACAATGGCTGTCATGATATTGTTATTTTCTGATGATGAAACTGACACAGTCACTTCCAGATGTTCAATATCAAACAGACATTAGTGTTCAGAATACAGACATACACAAACAAAGATCCTCTCTAGTGGACACATACAACTGTGTAGGTTCATATAATGAAATATATTCTCCCACACGTGGACTTCAGCTGTGTACTGTGGTGGTCTCAGGCACTTTACCACGTTCTGTCCAGTGGAAAGGCACTTTTTTCATGTTTTATCTACCAAAAAGGGCATCCGAGAGGGCACTTGTAGGGTGTCCCCCCCCCCCACCAGTGGTTGTGTACATACGGGGTTCCCAACGGCTTTTTGATTTTAATGGGTGTAAGAAGAAAATCTAATAAATATACACAGCAGGTCTATATGTCAGCATTTAATTCATTTCTGTGAGGAAAACTAAATAAAAGTGTCATTTTCAACGTTTAGATTACAGTTTAAGATATAAGACTTAAACAAACTACATTCACATTAGAAAAGTACGCAGAAGAAAACACTGAATTTGTCAAATAAGAAGCCTGTTGTGGCTTTAATTGTTTAAATAATACATAATACAGACAGAGAATTGTGTAAAAAGTTTCCAAAAACATAATCTGTGATCAATATTCACAGGAAATGATAATTGTACTCAACCTTCCTGCACTATTGATCTTCTTTGTACAGTTTATTGGCTGTTGTATTGATTATAATATCAGTCAGTTATGATAGAAATGTAGCTGCAACATCAGACAGAATAACAATGTATCAATGTAAAACATATTAAATCGTAATAACAGAAAAAAACTGTATAAAAGTAGCGTGTGAACTTTCTGACAGAGGATGGATTGTCCTGTGAGGGCACCCGTAGCTGCTTATAAACGGCGCTATCGGTCGTTAAAAGCGATTTAAAATGCAGGTTTTTTTACTCATATATATATTTATTCTTTTACCTTCGGTTCACTCGCCTCCAGATGTTGTTTCTCCTTTAATTTCTCACATATAAGACACCTCCGGATGCCTTTACAGGCGCAGGGACACACACCTTCTACGATCTTCATTCTTCTTTGAGTGTTGTAGTTTTCCTGTGAGAGTGGATCAACAGCGCCACCTGCCGGAACACTGGAGGAACAGTATTCAGAGTTTTAGAAGATTTAACTGATTTAACCCTAAAAATGTTTGTGATTAACAAACAAACATTATTATTAACCAACACCAAATATTTTAACACTACTATATGTATGTTTAAATAAAATAAAATAATAATTATTAGACCTGTACTGTATATTTAAAGCAAAATGTCTATAGTGTATATTTCCACTAATCTAATACTGCTGGATGTATTTTTTACTTTTACATTTTGCATTCAATATTTTCCCACTATAGTACTGCTACTTTTACTTAAGTAATGAGCTGAATACTTGCTCCTCTGCTGGTATTAACCTGGTATAGACAAAGTATCTGTAGCCAATAAAACATACAAGACATGAATGAATGCCCTCATTTTGTTGTATACAGTTTATTTTCACAATGCTGCTTTAAGACTTTATTCAATGTGAAACGCCACAGTTTATATTACTGTATTGAACATCAGAAAATATATGTTTGGTGGTATATTTTGGCATATTCTCCTCACTAGAGATTTTACATTTTACCTGGCAGGCTTAGCTCAGGGTGAATAAAAAGCCCTTTACTATTAAAGTCTATTTAAAAATGTACATACAAGTACCATTAAGTGAAGCCCGTTGACGGTATATATGAGCAGAAGGTTAAAACTATTATAAAGGATCATATACGCAGAAACACTGGGACTTACGTGACACCAGGAAACATCTTTACAGTGTATAAAAAACATGAAGCTATTGGTGGATTACAAAGGAAGAGATAGAGTGTCTGAGAATAGGACATACAGGATTAAATCATTCACTAATAGACTCATTGTAATAGTGATAATTATTATAAACCACAATAAAAGGAGGGAATTAATATGAACTTTTGATGAGGGACACAATATTAAATTATATTTGGAAAGAAATCATGGAAAGTGCATTATCTTTTGATTAATTATTTAAAAATAACAGGAATAAATAAATATAAAGGAGATAAATGAGTTATTTTCTTTGTTTATTCCCCTGCAGTACCGCGCTGCACCTCCAGTCCAACAGGTGGCGCTAATGCACCTACCACAGCTGGTTCACCAGAAGAAGATTTAAACCACGCCCACCGGATGTGCGTAGGGTTTCCGCGGGAAAGCTCAGTTCTTCAGGTGACTTTAAGTGAAGTGTCGGTGAGTAACTTTATCCTCTAATACTAACAAATAAGCACAAACGTTAGGTTTTATTACGGAAGATAAAGGATTGTAGTGTGTGTTACAGTTTAACAATCTTCAATTAAATTATTTTATTGTCTGTTAACTGAGACTGAGGCTGACTAACCTCTGTTGTTGCTCATAAACACGTGGAAAAGATTAAAATCCTCAATAAATGCATCAGTATAAAACCTACAGAGCATATTTTAAAGGTTAGACGCTGTTTGTGAGAGCTGCTGTTGTAGAAGAGGTGAGTGCTGGTCTGTTATTGTCTCTTCTCTGTTACTAACACTGTGATTGTGTGTCTGTAGAGCAGAAAATAAAGGTGCAAACAACAAAGAAAGAGACAAAGCAGAGGCTCTCATGCAAAGTGCCACTTTATTATACCCATTATATGTTTATAGAAGTAGGAGACTGGTAGTTTGGAGCAAAGATGAACAATAACAATATGGTACTTGTGGAAAACTCACTCTCAGTTCAGTTGAAAAGGTAAAAATTGTGATTTTCTCCACATATGTGTGATTAGATTGCTCTTTATTAGGATTGCAGACATTTGTGTTGCTGATCTTAAGTGTATTTATTGTTACAATGACGACAAACTACCACGAACAATAGACAGATGCATCCCAGTGGATTAACTCGGGGCCCTCAAACTGCATTTTCTGTTAAGTACAGTGTTAGAAAGGGAATTATTTCAGAATATTACACTATCCTGTAATACGTGAACCCTGTTGGACCCTGTTGGGAGAGACTCCAGCCTTAACGGTTGTGATTGAGTGTGAGAACAAATGAGAGTGAAAGTTATCTCCATCCAGTGAAACAAAGAGACCAAAGCTAAACATCAACAATAACCAGGATCAGATCTACTGTAAAGGAACATCTGGTGCAGAGTCCATTCAAATGAGCACATTTAGGTCACCTTGAGTTGGTGCTGAACTCATCTGCTGTGGGTTTGTTTGACCAAAAGTGTTTATTCTGTATGTTTACATCTAGTGTTTCTCACTTTATCACATTAAGTGTGTTTTTGAGGCTACACGGTTGTGTTTAATGCTTTTCAGTGCACATAAAACGGCTTTCGAGACAATTTACTTGTAAATATGTTGAACTCTTAAGTTCTTACATCCATGTTTGTAAGATAACAATCTTCTTGGCTGCTTTGTTGGAAGAAACAGTAGAAACAGTGTGTATTGCCACACCCACGTGCTGCTGTTTAGGCGGTACTCAGACGTGTACTGCTGCAGCATGAGGTAAACAAAAGGGGGCCCGTCTCATTGAAACATTACTGCAGAGGGGGGTCGGATACATCTCGGTTACTGTAGCAGATATAAAAGGTGTGGTCAGTAAAAAGCCGGTATTACTGGTGCAGCTGAGCGCACGCCAACACTTAAAGCTTTGAACAGAGAGGGAACAGAAGAGTTCACGCTCTACTGTTGATCCTCTGGTATCTTATTGTTTGTGGTCCTTTCAGATAAGCCATGGAGAAAATAACAGAGAAACTCTTGCTGGAGAAAGGTTCTCCAAAAACCAACAAACTGGAGCAAATCAAGACCCTGAAGTAAGTCTGCCTTTCTTCTCCATACCGTAGTGTTTGTGTGTTTGTTGCATTGCTCACTTCTAACTCTCTCCGATGTTCAGTCTGTCTAAACTGGCGCTGAAGGTTCAGGACTTGCCGGCCAGGCTGCTGTCCCGTCTCCGCTCCCTGGAGAGGTGGGATCTGTCTGGGAACAGACTGCAGGAGTGGCCCAAGGACCTGGAGCTGCCTGCGCTTCGCTACCTGGACCTCAGCGACAACCAGATGGAGGACGTTACCACGCTGGAGTCTCTGGGAGGCCTGGAGGAGCTCAAGATGGAGGACAACCTTTATATCACTGTGAGGACACTGGTCATTCATTCTGGTTTGTGTTTAGCGATGTGGCCTTTTCTATGTGAGGATATTCTCACTGTGTCTGTGCGGGTTTCAGTTCAAAGACACGCAGATTATGTGAGCTGGACTCTGGTCGGTGTGAATGTGAGTGTGAATGGTTGTCTATTGTAAGCTTCACCCAGTGTGAACTGGGGGAGGTTTCAGCCCCAGACCTCTAGCACAACATAAGTGGGTGTAGTGTCGACAGTCAGCAAGGCTTCACTTTGGGGGGGTCTGGCTTAATTGTTGCTCTTTAGAACTCAAAGTACCTCTTTGCATTCACATGTATTTTATTGTTATTAGCTGGGAGTTGTAAAAGAATACTGCAGCATTGTATCCTGGATCTGATCCTTTCAGAATAAAAGCACGCCTCACTGGGTCTCAGACTGGGTTGTAACGTTGCTTTTCTTCCTCAGGTGAGTGATAATTATAAACTGATGACGCTGTTGCCCAACCTGAGGATTTACAACGGTAAAGATGTCACTACTACTGCCAACCACCTGCGCTACGTCTACAGTGAGAACCTGAGGACCAGGGTATGAAACTGACGACTTACTTTGCTTTATTTTGGGATTTTAGGACTCCAGAATGACTTAAGTCATGTCATATGCTAAGAATGATGTCTGCAATGTCTCTGTAGTGTTTGAAAGTGGAATATTTGGTGGCATTACGGCACCGCTTTATTATAAAAGCTGTTGCTGCCGTCAGTGTACAAACTGTCTGTTGGTTATTTTAGATAATTGCAGTTTGGGAGAAGAGCTTCAGTCTCCCGGATCCCATCACGCCAGAGAAACTATCCACCTTGAAGACAGACTTTGTCAACGCTACCCGTCAACAGGTTAAATTTGGACCCGCGTCAGTCAGCGACTTCACCAAATGGAAGGTGAGTTCTGGATGTTCGGGACAACTTGGCGCCTTTCTTTGTTTTGTTCCTCCTCTGTCAGTTTCAGTAACTGTGTCTCCTTTCTTTTCTCAGGTGGAGATTATGGCTAAGGAGTATCTGCGCTCTCTGACAGAACCAAAGGAAGAAGCACAGAGCGAGGAGCCGACTGACACTAAAGACAACTGTGTAAGTGTTTGAAGGACGCTGTACAAAGACACTGTCTCTGTCACCTCCTCACATTCTGTCAACGCTTTCTAACAGCCATGAACTATCTTTGCCCCTTTTAAAGCTCATTCTGTGTGTTTGCTTTCTTCAGGAAGTCTCCACGCCGACCAAGAGGAAACAACCGGCACCAGTAACGGACTCCAGCATAAACCTGACGCCTCGCAAGAAGCTGTGCGCAGATCTCCCAGCGTCCCCAGTTGGAGACAGCCCCCGCAAGGCCAGCCTCCGCTTCAAACCTCAGCCGCTGACCCAGACCATCAGGATGAGCCCCCGCAAGGCCGCTCCGCCTCCCTCTACCCCCACCAGAGCCCAGACGAGGGCAGACACACCCAAGAGAGGCTCTAAAGTGAGACAAACCAAAGAGGATGGAGCTCAGATTAAACAGAAGGAAGGTGTGAGCAGGAAGGAGCTGCAGAGGGATGCCGACAGGCTGCCCACATTAAAGAGCTGCAGCCAGACACAGGTAACAGAAATACAGATATTAAATACTCTATAGCTCCAATGTCCTGTCATTAATGCTTCTTTCCCTCCACGTTCCCTCCCTCCAGCAGCCGGTGCATCTGAAGCCTCTCCACGTCCTGCAGTGCCACAGCAAACAGGACAGCTCGGAGGACTTCTCCACCCAGCTGTGGGCTTGTGCTTTCCAGCCAATGCCCGACTCCACAGGTACTACACTTCTCTCAGCTGTATCAGGGCATACATTTGTATTTTAAAAGCTTCCTTATATCCGTGTTTATCAGAGAAAAAAAAAAAAAAACTCTTTTCCTGCATTAACAGGCGCTGGTGGAGGAAGCCGTTTGGTTGCTACCTGCGGAGGAGACTCTCTCTGTGTGATTGACTGTGAAACTGGGATCGTGATGAAGAAGTACAAAGTTCCCGGAGAGGTTCGCTCCATTTATTCTTTCAGGGCAGATTTATGTATTTACATACACAGAAAGATAGATTTCATTTTATTTCCTTTCTGTGCTTGTGTTTACAAAATCTTAACGCTGCTGCTATGGAAACGACTAATATTCACCAGAGAGGAAGGACAAAAAATGACAAAATGTCCACATTAAAGAATGTATAATTACAAGGAAACGTCTTCTAAATGTTTGTATATTTAATGCTCACAGCAGCTAGCATGAGTTCTGCAGACATGAGCACAATCCAATATAAAGATTTAAGACGTTAAGACGTTTCTGTTCCTCCCAACAGGAGTTCTTCTCCCTGGCCTGGTCCACGGTGCTCATGTCCAGGGGGGGCAATGCCTCGGCTCAGCACTGCAGCGTTCTGGCAGCTGGCGGGAAGAGAGGGCTGGTCAAACTGATCCACCCCAGAAACAACGTGGCCTACGGGGAGTTCAGAGCCAGCCGCAAGTCGCTGTCTGTCCTCCGCTTCAACCACCACCGGGGCAACTTCCTCTTCAGTGAGTCCTGGTTACTTCTCACAGATAAACTACCAACAGTTATGAGTTCTGATTGTTTACAGCTTCCATTTCAAGACAAAATACAAGAAACAGTCGGGTTGTAAGTAAGCTACAGTTTTAGCTTTAACTTATTTGGAAGTTCACTGCCCCAGTAGTTTGAGCTGGGAGATCAGTTCGACAAGTGCACCAAGCTCTAATAGCTTTAATAAAGACAATAAACCAAATGTCAGGAAGAACAGAAGGAAGGTACACCATCTAAATGAAAGTTTCTCTCTTATACCACAGTAAGACCTTGTTAAGCGATCCTAAAACACACTTCATTCAAACTCGACAGAATCAAAATTAAAACTCCCCACACTGTCTTTATTGGGCTCATTGAGGCTCGTCATGTTTTCACCACTGCTGTACGATAACCTCACACGTTAAGGATTTTAGACTCGTCTCAGGAACTTCACTAAGATTAAAAACCTGATTCAGTTCAGTGTTTGGTTTCTCACCAGTTCAGCTTTTCTCTTGCAGCGGGATCTTACGATAACAAGATCGTAATGTGGGACATCGGCGGAGTGGACAGCCAGTACAACTACAAAGTTGTGTGAGTATTTCTGCTTTTTATACCTCAATACAGTCTTTAGAAAAGCTTTTTTGAGGTCTGTTTAGTGTTTTGTTACAGCTTCATTAGCTTCTCAGAAAGAGCGGGAACCCTGACGTACGTGACGTAGTCCAGCAGGGTCGCGTGGAGGTTCAGGCTGTGATGTTATAAAACATATATTTCTGTCCCTCCAGTCAGCTGCTGGTGTTGGAGATCAGCGCCACCCCTCTGCACATCTGCCTCCCCCCCACTTCCCCCAACTCACACCTACTGACTGCCTGTGAGGACGGCCTGCACTGCTTCAACACACAACTCGGCAACAACAACGCCACGAAGAGGTAAAGAACGCAGCGTGTTTTTCATGTTTTCCAGGGTTAGGGTTATGCTTTAATTCCAATATATTCCTTAAAAGATGCTTTATTTTCAACATAATCTGGTGTTTATTGACACTGAATATATTTGGAGTATTAATCAGAAAGCATTGTGTATAAAGTCCTACATGTGGACCAGCCAGTAGCATATGTTGTGTCTTTCTCTCCGCAGGTCAAAGGAAATGGAGGTAACTTTCCCCGTATATAAGAAAGAGGACAAAGACCACGACTACCACACCATTGATGGCCTGAGTTTTCTGACAGATGACATAGTGGGTAAGTGAAGCTCTACCACTGCAGTCAGTCTCTTGTGTATGTAAAATACATTTTATAAAATTAGAACCAGTATGGCACATTTAGAACAAACCCCGCCCTGAGCTGCAGACTGAATCCTGAGGATGACTTTATGATCCCCTGGTCACTCCTCTAGTGCCACCATCTTTGTTTTAAAATGGATTAAATGTCTCGACAGCTATTGAATGGATTGCCATAAAATCTGGTACAGCTGTCCACGGTGCTCAGAGGATGAATACATAATGGTATAATAATGATCACACATGGCACTTTGTTGGCAGTAATCCAATCAAAGTGCTGCTGAACAGCATTTATTGTGTGGGTAGTGTTTAAATCAACAATAATCCAGTTTATGTGAAGCTGAGAACATAAGTGAGCCTGTTTTGTTTTATATGTCTGACACTAAATATGTAAACTGAGTCTTCAGTATAAATGTATTCACCTCAACAGGCCACTTGATGGCGATATAATGGAGTTTAATGTGAGTCCCTGTCTGTACATTAGTGTATCTAATGGTGATATGTTTCATTACATTACATTTAGGTCTATTCAGTCAGAATGAGTGAAGTTCTTCCAGCTGTGTTTGCTTTATTTTAGTGTCAAATTGACATTAAACTAAATTCAAGATGCTTTAAGGTCTTTTTAATTCAAATTAAATGTGTCCCTAATTTAGCTTTTCCACTAATGTTTCATTGTGGCCCTCTAGCCTCCAAGAGCTACATGCACGGGGCCATTTACCTGTGGAGCTGGAGCAGGACCAAGGCTCAGCGGCCCGACAAGAAGAGCAGGGAAGTGTGCGCTGTGGTTCTGGCTGAGCTGCAGTGGACCAACACAGAGATTCCTTACCTGGCTCTCAACACCTGTCCCGGTTAGTCCAAGTCTCCTAATGTAATCAGTAGAGCTGCGTTCATGTAATGTTATCCACTGATCATCAAACCTGAGAACCTGCCTCTTTTGTTTTTACAGTGGTGCATTTGATTGTGTTTTCATTTTATTAATGTTATATACTGTAACTTCTTGTTGGGATGGAAAGCTTTGGGTAAAGGCAAAACGAACTTTATTGGAAAGTGTTTACTCTGAGTTTTGGTCCAGATAAAGAGGTGTATTACTCAAATGTCTGTAAATGCAGATTGGTTCGCAGTATAACACTGCCTTAAGCTGTCACTAGAGGGAGTTCTCTTCAAGCTGCATTTCCAGTTTATTTGCTCTACCAGTGTCTCAGTCTGAGGCTGGACCCCAGTATACTGTATACCCAGAGCCCGTCTGAACCACTGACAGTATTCACAGTTGTATGCAGAAGTTCGGCACCACTTCACATAACAACATGTAATCTGGGGTATGAAACATAAAACATGAGGATGTATGAAAGAGGATGGATAATGATCCTAAACGTATCTCCGAATACACCACGGACCAACTCAGGAGACTGGAGCTGGAGGTTTTGGAGTGGCCCTCAGTGTGTAGATCCAATATTAGAGAACTACGAGCCTTTTGTAAGGATGTACAGTGCCCAAACCTTTGCACATACCACAATGTTTTTATTACTGTTCAGTTTATGATATAAAAACTAAGCATGAATGTTTGCTATTTACATATCCTTGTTTCCATATTTTCAATTAGAAAATGCACCAGAACATGTTATTTATCGAGGAGAGCCCCCACTTTCACACTCACGTTGATGTTGAACTCTGTGTTTACCCCTCTCTCTTTAGGCCGAGCCTACATAGTGTGTGGAGACGACAAAGGCCGGCTGTGGACGTACCACGTGAGCAACCTGCAGAAGAACAGTCTCCAGACTGGGAAACCCATACAGCCCACTGAGGTGACGAGCTGTTCCTGTACAACTGTGCTTTTATTCAACATCGTACAGGAACATGAAGGGTTGTTGTTCTGTTGATTTAGAAGAGGAAGATTACTACCCAGACTCTCTGTTGTAAACATCTGTTACAGTTTACAGATGTAGATCTAAGTACTGTCTACTGTAACTTGGTTGTTTTCATTCAGGCCTGGTGGAAAATGTTCTCAAAATATCAGGAAAACTGGAAATAATCTGTTCAAAATTCATCCAAATCGCGCTTTTATCAGTTGCTCTGTACTTTTTATTGTTTTGATTGAGTATACTATGAAATATCCATAAAATATGTCAGTTAATTTACTCCATGATGGAAAAGGGTCCCTTAAGGGCTCATTCGGAGGGACTAACCTTTAAAAGCCGTCCACTGAAGCTCCTCCTCACATGTTTTTGTTGTCTTTGTTTGGGCAGGTGTTGGAGTGGCCGACGCCGGTGAAGAACGGCCTCGGGCAGGTAGAGGGCCCCTCCATCAACAGTGTAGCAATGGACCCGGAGCTCCACTTCCTGGTGGCCCTCAGTGACAAGAACATGGTGATAGTGTGGAAGAGGGACGGGGAGCGGGAGTCCTCCTGAGCCGCAGAGAGACTGCAGCTCAGGAAGGACGTCAGACTGATCTCTGAAGTGGTTTGATATGAATCCTAAGTGGTTTTTGTACTGGGAACAAACGGATGAGAGTTTACCAAATGTTGGTATCTGTGAGGACAAAGATGGAAGTGATGGAAGATTACTTCATTTTATCATCACGCAGGTTGTTTCTCAAAAGAACAACAGGCCACTTTTTCAGCCTAAAGAGACTTTTTACTCATTTTTGTCCTAATTTGTTTGGGAAAAGACTTTTATGTTGATGCTGTGAGAGACAGACAGATCGAAGGAATACACCAACAGTATTCTTGATTTCTTTTATATGAAAATATGTGGCGTACTTTGCAGGATTTTATAGTCATATACTTAAAGTTGCTGCTGTTGGGAAGAGAGCTGTCACTATGTGACACAGTTCTTAGTTTTACTTGTGTACCTTAAAGGATACACCACATAAAAATGTCCAGACCGACTATAAAACATGATGTCACTGTCTCACAAATAAGAGTTTAATTTCTCAATGTGATAACTTAAAAGTGTAAACATTTGAAACGGATCATAACAATCATATTTAATCTACATAATTACAATAATGCTGTAATTGGCCTCAGGCGTTTCACTTTAGATCTTGTTTTATAATCTCTTTACTGGTTTTGAGTCTTTAGTAACACGTCTTGTATTTCCTGCTTTCAGTGGAGTTATGAATGAGGACTCTAATGTTAAATTCATGAATGTTATTTTCTGCATTGACTGTATGCGACTGTATTTTCCTTTCAGATGTACATATTTAATGTGAATAACTGCATATGAACGAACATTGTGTTTCAATGTAGCTGTAATGTTCTGATAACTCACAGTACAACGTGTACCTTCCTACTGTGTAATCCCACAGTATTTATACTACCTGTGTTTCTGGGTACAACCCACCATGTGTGGTTGTACTAATAATCTTTAATAAAACAAATGACTGCATTCTCATTTCATTCGTCACGTGTGGGATGAAATACCTGACCAAAAAACAGGTATCTACCTTTATCTACCTTTTTCTATACAAAATATCACCTGTAGCCTACATTAATAAACTGAACTTTTATTTTATAAATGTATTTTAGGCTGGGGGCACTGATTTTATGCAGTATGGGTCTAAGTTTCCAGTTATTCCCAATGTATGCAAATCCACCACTGTTTATGGACCCCAGTATGCAGAAATATTCACATACACTAGATAAAAATGACATTTTAACATTAAAACTGCATATTAGCATAAAGGGGGGGCTCCTGGCTTCCCATAGAGCCCCTTTTCATTCAGATACCTTGAGGTCAAAGGTCAAGGGATCCCTTTTTGAAAATGGCATTCTAGTTATTTCACTTCCTTCCCGACATGCTAGAACGGTATGCTTGGTACCAATGGATGCGTTAGCTCATCTAGGTTTAAAACAGCCGACTACAGCCTCTGAAAGAAAGTGAGGAGTGGCAGAAGGAAGGATAATAGGGGGTGTGTCGTACACACCTTGTGATTAATCTCTCTGAAAGCTTCTTAGTATACGACATTACACATAATTAAAAAGTCCAAGAAAAACAAGATTAAGTGATATATTAACCAGAGAGTACATTCTGTGTACATGTTTTATTTGTACTGTGAAAACAAAATACAGAGTAAAAGTTCCTTATCAGAAATGTTTGTGGAACTTAAAAAACTAAGTTAGTGCCACTTAAAATAGTAACTTAACAAGTGAAAGCTATTTAATCAAGAATCTTTTTGAACTCGAAAAATTAGTTTGCGTTACTTATAATCAGTTTCAACTATTTTTTTGAGTTAAAATAACTTTTATCATAGATATATTCTGGGGCAGGATGAATATAATTATATATCACTTTGGACTTTGGATTGATGTTTATTAGCTCCATGTGTCATCAGTGTGTCTCCTCTCTGTGTGTAAGACAACCGTCTGACACCTCCAGAGCTCTTTTTAATTATTTAAATGCTCACACCAGTTAGCATGACATTTATTTTTAACTCCCAGACTAAAATAAAAAGTTTAAAGACTTTTTACTGGCTATAAATTGGAGGAGAGAACTCTTAAATAACTAATAAAAGACACCAGGTCACACAAACAATTTATAATTTATAAATAATGAATGGAAATAGCAATTAAATGGATAAAACAAATGTTATTAGAAAGAATAACTTAGATATTAAAAGCTAAACAGTGTGTATTTGCAATTATTACATTTAATATATTAAATTATGACTAAATTAACATTTGTTGTTTTGAATGTTTTGTTGTTCCCCTTTTGAGTAAATGCTGCCATCTTGTGTTGTTTTTATTATTATTGCTTATATGGAAGTAAAAAGTTGGATTTCAAGGTGTTGAAAATGTATTTATTTAAAATAATATATATTTTATAAATATATAAAATAATAAATAAAAAATGTATTCAATTTAATTATTTTTATGGCCGCATTTTAATACACATCTAAGTGGTAAGTTAGGAAAATATGCCAAAACTTACTAATGTGCCACAAAAATGTAATGTTTTTAGTTAAGATGTGTTAATTTAGGGATATTTTCAAGCAAATATTGATATCTGATAGTGATTAAATCAGCATATATTTATGCCAGCACATTTGTTATGTCCTCTGTGCCCCATAACAGGTCAATCCAGTGAGAAAACTACATAATTATACATTTTGAGTGAAGTATTCCTTCCTCCATACGCTCATAAATACCTTTGCCACCCTAGGAAAAAACTTCTACTTGCAGAATACCACTGAATGATGTCCATCAGAGCAGATTTATAAGTGGGTTTACACAGGGCGCGAACTACAGGAGAGAGTAATTAATAACACCTGAGCTTTTGTGAAATTGTCTCTGAAATATTGAGAAAATCAGCCCCTTCAGGATTTTGCTGGATTTTTTGGGATTGTTGTGACCTAAAATGTCTGATTTCTTTCTTTTAATAAATTGTGATGCATGATGTGATATTTTTAGGCTTTTTGTTTTGCTAGTAGTGAAATAATGAATACAAATTTTAATATATTTGCATTAATTGTTGCGATTGCGACTTCCTGGATGGACCACAACATGCTATTTTAACCATGCATTTCTGATTTTGGGATTATTTGTAAACTTACTATCAATGTAGGATTTACTAGATAATAAAAGATAATGCTTTATTCTTCAGATCGGAAAATACAGTGAGAAAAAAGTGTGTATATTGTGTATACCGTGCACTTACACCACTGATAATGCAGGGTTGGAGACGGGGTGGCCAACAGGTGCCCGACACATTTTCTGCCCTTGGTGTCCCATAAACAGCTCAATACGGCCATGTATAAATCAAGTCAACTTTATTGTCAAGTATGTTATACATGCACACATACAGCATAGAGGAAATGTCAGGCAATGAAAAAAATACAGTTTCTATGTAATAGAAAAAGACATAAAATAAACAATCAACAAGACATAAAATAAACAACAATCAACATCAAGAATTAAGGCACTCGGGTATTTACATGATGAAATAAAA